ATTAAAGGTTTCTATTATTTACTAATACTAATATGTATGGCTGACGTGTGACGTAAAATTTCATATTTAGTAAAACTGACATTTATAACTAACAGGTAATATTAAAATTTCTAATATTTAATAATTATTGACATTTATGATTGACAGCTAATGTTATTTTAATATTTAGTAATATTGGCATTTATGACTGACAGTTAATATAATTTATAATATTTAGTGATGTTAACATTTAAGTTTTATTTACGACACTTTAAATTTTTATATTAAAATTTTTTTTAATGTTAACTTATTTAAACAGAGTTGCAGGTCCTCCGAAAATAGAATCAAGATACAGATTCCTTATAAAAAAATGGATTTTAGCTACAGATATTCAAAATATGAAAAAAATCCAAGATAAAAGATACTTGTATCTTTTGTAGATACTTTTATAAAATTATCATTACCAATTTAGAATAGTATATAAAATACATTGATAAAGAACATAACATAAGCATATAATAAGAAAATAGAATATTTAATGATGAGTTAATTATAATAATCAGGCAATTTATTATTAATTTTAGCCCATTCATAACATAGTTAGGGAAGGGAGACTAGCATTTTTAAGGTTAGTTGATATATTAATTTGCAAAAGAGTATTTAATATAGATTAAATTAAATCAATATTTCCAATTTTTTCAATAATTTATCATTAAGTCTTTGCTGTTTTGGCGTATTTAACCTTGTGCCAAAACTAAATAACCTTTTAACTGAAGCTTATTAAGATATTAGAAGTTGAAAATTTAATATTAATACGAATTGAAAATGGCAATTTCATTTATTAAATATAATCAAAATCTAAGATAACATAAATAAATTAAAACGTAAAATCAAACTAAAGATATAAAATCAAAACTATAAAATTATAAAGGTTTCCCTTTCTTTGTCTTCTTAATATTATATTTTTTATCTCTATATTTATACTACTAAAATTTATATAACATCGATATTATTTTATATAATTGTCCTTTAATTTTCTTATAATTCAATTTTTCGATTAACTTTACAATTTAAACATTTTATCTTTACAAAATTTTTATTCAAAATGCAGCAAATGTCATACTGATGATGACAATATGGCGCTTCATCCTTTACATTGCAATCATCGGCAAACGCGGCACTCGAGGTGCAATCAAATCATATCTCTTGCACTTAGGACAGCTGGCTTTCTAACCTTTTCTGGTCTCTTTCCCGATGGTATGCGTCCTGATGGAGTTACACGAATTCCATGGTCACATGGAAAGTTTCTATTATAGGATTTTTCTTGTTTGGACACGAACTCCCCTTATAAATTTTAACAAAGACGCTCTGGAGCTTAAAAGTTTAAGATTACCAAATACGATTCTTCTAATTACATATTAATACAAATCATCTGCTCCACTTTAACAACATATGGTGATTTGGCTAAAATGTCTTTTAAAGACGTTGACCGCCTAATCAGGAAAAATTCTGGAGAACGTCGCGAAGACTTTTATTTAAGGGAGGATCGCATAAGCTTTACTTAAGGCTAAATGTTTGTTTTATCAATTCGATCTATCCTGATGATTAGAGAAAGAGGATTTTGATTAACTGTGCTGGTTTCGCTTTTATTTATTTTGTATTTTACATTATTTTATTATTTATGCACAATATTGTCTTTTGTTATTATGATTATTTTTCCTAATTTGTAATCGTTCACTAACTACCTACTTCATTATTATAATTACATTATTACCAGTTGAAAAAAAATAAAACAATCACACTAAGCAAATTATTGTATTTATAATGTATACCCAATACAAATCATTCTTAATTTATTTATTTCATATTTTACAACATTGAGATAGATTTCTTTTATATTCAAAAAAATAAGAGAAAATGGAAATAAATAAATAAATTATTTAAAAATATTATTAAAATATCCCCCCCCCCCCATGAAGATGAATCAACGATTTGCTTGATCCACTTCACTGTCATCTGGCCTCAAAGGCATATCTTCGAACTGTTGGATCTAAAAATGGGAAGTCTCTGAATCCTGAAGTTCACTGCCCCCTCGTATTGGAATATCTTCGGGAAAAATGGGGAAACCACCCCAGGCACGGGCGTCGATAGTGGATTTTCCATTGGTTTGGCCACTAGCTCACCTGTACGTCTTGGGTAACGTATACATTTTTCGATTTTGCACGGGAACCATGTTACGTGGGCACTGCAGCGCTTTCTGTCCTAATTCACTACATAGGTTGGCTGGGGGCGTTGAAGGTGGAGACCATCATGGCATATGAATCATGGTCCCTTCATTGGCACAGAATATGGATCTAAGAAAACTAATTATTTGATTTTTCTTCACACAAATTTTTTTTTTAAAAACTAATTATTTTATTATTCTTCACCCATTTTGTATATTATTTCTAACATCTTTTCAATAAAAAAAAATAAATTCGGTGAAACATTAATCACAACTTCTACGCAAAAATTTATTTCTAAACCCAATTAATGATTAACCTATTTAATGATTTCTTCTCGTTTTTCTTTTGAAAGACACTAACCTCGTCGATCCCAAAAATATTTCCTATTTATTATTGAATTTTATAATAACTTTAATTTATGTTTGAAATATCTACCATTTATTTCACATATTTGATCTAAATGATACCTCATATGATAATTACTTTTATCAAACTTATTTTAACTCATATTTCTCCTTTCATCTATCTTTTAACCCCCATTTATCTTTAATCATTAAATTTAACATGTAAATTGAATTCCATCGAAACTAAATTTTTTTTAAAATAAACAACCCATTTGCATTTTTTTAAAATTAATTAATTTAATATATATCCTTCTTTTATTCCATTTTAAATTTTAAGCACCTTTCTTAATTTTAACCGAATAAATTATAAGCAATTTGGTAATAGACTTTCCTTACATTTGCATTTTATACCCTAATAATATATATTTATTCAACTTCAAAAAATTTTTTTTAAAAAACAATTCCATACCCCCCAAAAAAACTTAACCCAAAGTATTTGTCCAACTATTAATCTAGACCGATTCGAGATTTTAACTGATCTCTATGGTGTAGGACCTCTGTCATATTTTAAAACCATATTTTGCATAATTTATTACCTAAATTCTCTATAATTACTCCCTTTTCCCATTTTATAACAACTCCATGCATTCAAACCCAGACCATTGATCGATTACATACTCAAATTCAAAATTATTTTCATTTTCCAATAACGTTGGAATGGGTTTTAACATATCCAAAAACACATTTATTTTTCTTCCAAACATCCTTCCCAATGAAGATTTACCATCCATTCCTACTCCATTATTGTAATAAAGATGGGCTATCCAAATTTCTCTCTTACCCTCCTTGGCCTTTTTTCCAACCTTTAACAACCGCCATTAACCTTTCAGCCTGTCCACTTGAACTAGGGCAATACGGTAGTGCAAGAATATACGGCACATTATTTTTTTTAGACAAAAAACCCTGAACATCTCAATCACAAACCACCAATCTCGGAATCCCGAATCTGAACCATAACATTTTTAAATGCTTTATAACAATTCCAGTAGTTAAACCCTGTATCTCCCCAAATTCAATCCACTTTAAAAAAACGTCCACACTTAAAACAAAAATTTTCTCATTAAACCCCCCAAAATACTATATGTATCATTTCCCATGGTTTTTTCACTTTCGGGCCAGGTAATCTTCTTACCTCACTGCAGAATGTAATCTCTTGAGTTAGGCTTTACAATTCTTTCCCAAATTTTCAATTTCCTAATTAATTCCAGGCCACCAAACATACTCTTTTCCCCACTGCTTCATAACACATCGTCCACCACAGTTAATTCTGTTTCAATACACTTGAATTTATCATTACCGATATTCCATAATTTTCTCCCCATTATCCGCAAGTTTAATCGCTCCATTTCCCTATCTTGGGCCACCTCTTAAAACAGTTAAAGTACAAACTAAGGCCAGTCACCCTTTCTATCTCCACCTGACACTTTTTCATTGGCTTTTTCACCGACTCCTAATCTCGATAAAATATCCAATTCTCTTTTCCGTCTATACCTGAACTCCAAATCGAAACTGCCAACTAACAGGAACCCAAATAAAGGCCTATTTTGTTTTTGTTGCAATCAATGGCCATATTTGCCAATTTTTATGAGTTCTTCCCATAATTTATAGAAATATTGCCAAACGATATGGGTTGGTATTCCAAATTGATTCCTTATGGTTAAATTAATAATAGTAATCTAATCACTGAACCTATATCATATTCCATTTCGATTTCCTGGTTGTTTATTAATATTTTTTGATGTTGGGTATAATGTTAATTCCTGTATCAGCGATATATATTTTTTAGAGTTGCGCCCTTTTATGGAATATTATTACGTTATTGATTATATATGGTCTAGATAGTTCTCTAGGCTGGTTTCTTTCTTTCATTGATTGAATATAGTATTTTTTTTTTAAAAATAAAATTATAAATTTTATTTCATTCATTGCCAATTTTATATAGCTATGACATTATTAGTCAGCACTCTCTATATATAAACGATAACTTATATTAAATAAGATTATATAATATTATATTTAAATAACCTACATATGCTAATAATATCATAAATAATCTATATAAAATATAATATTGTGTTAAATACAGTGGCGTCCTTAAGCAGGGGGACGCAGAGGCTCTAGCCCCTGAAAAATTTGAAGAGCCTCCCCTCAAAATTTTAGAATTTTTTTATATTAGCTAAAAAATGAAGGTAATTTTGAAAAAATTTTTGAGCCCCCCTGAGATTGTAAAGGCTAGTGACGCCCCTGGTTAAATACAATATGAATTTCGTGAATATTTAAAGAACAAAATTTGTTCCAAGGATAAGATTCTCAATTTCAAAAAGTTATATTTTAGTGTATCTTATTTTATAAAAAATAAATCCATTCCTAGATCTATAAGCAAAAGATAAAGATGATTCAAAGTTATAGAAAATCTCACTTGATTCAAATGTGCGAATCTGATTTGTATAAATTTAGAACAGATGATAATAAAACCCAATGCACAAATTGCGAGGCTAGAAAAACTGTGGAATATCGAAATTTGATTGTTAATCACAAATTCAAATTTATTTTTTGTATCGTGCCGAAGATAGCTTCGACTCAATGGAAACTTGTATTAGGAGCATTACAAAGCGACATGAAAGACTTGGGAAAAGAAAACGAAGGGTTTTTAAAACCGAACAAACTATGGCATGCATCTAAGGAATACAAGTTTGAAAGACTTTCTGAGTTTACATCCATAGACCAAGCTAAAATAATGAGGGATTACAAAAAAGTTATCTTCGTTAGGCACCCGTTAGAAAGAATAATATCGGCCTTTTGGAGTAAATTTATAGAAAGGAAATCTAATTATTTTATTGATTACCCTAAGATATACGGTGTTTCGATTATAAAGAAATTCAAGCTAAAAAGTAATAAAGCTTCTACAAACCGGAAATACCTTCATTTTTATGAATTCATAAAATGGTTGAATCTTGAGAACTCCACAGAACTCATACGAAATAGGGATTTAGATTCTCACTGGTCTCCCATCTATGAGATATGCCATGTTTGTAACAAGGATTTTACTTTTGATTTTATTGGTCATTTTGAGCATCAAAGAGATGATTACCAAAATTTCTTAGACTATATAACTAATGATTTTAAAAATATTCCTAATTTGAAAAAAGAATTGTTCCCTTGGAAAGATTGGCCAATAAGACATTCCGTATCCAAAAATATATCGAGTATGTTATTGAGTCAAGTGAATACATTAGACCTGACCGAGTTTTATAAATCTTTTCACCTTGATTATTTATTATTTAATTACAGCTACATATACCCTTGATAAGATCATTTGGTTTTTAGAGGGTTTTTTTAAACTTGACATTAATGAAAAAGTGATCATATTATAAATCCGCTCTTCATTCCTAACAATTTATATATATATATATATAATTAAGTATCATAAATTGCATTATTTAAGATCTCTAAAAAGAAATAAAAAATATTACAAAATAAATTTGTTTATAATATGAGAAATCACGCATGTCACGCTTATTTATATTTTAAAAATATTAACAACAAAAACATATATTTTTAAAAACAACTTTTACAATTCAAAATACAAAATAAATCATATATCGCACCCATTTTATTGATTTCGCGCGAAATACATTTAATTGTTAACAAATATTTTAATAATATACAAATATGTTAAAATTATGTTGATATAATAGTATGTATTATGTATACATCACATAATAAATATATAAACTATATTACTTAGGTTACAAAGTTTATTAAAGCCAAAAATTAGTACTTACTATGTAATATGTAATAGGCACCAATAAATTAAGTCAAATTACGAATAAAATATATTTAAAAAAATGCTCGTTGAATGATTATGGGTAGAATATGTATAAAGATTTTCATTTAAAAAAAACAAGATTGATTAACATTTAAAAAAAAAAATATAATTGTTATAAAATTATTCATTACGACTTTGATCTCAAACTTTAAGGCAAGTATGCAATTCTCGGGGATTCCAAATTCGTGAAATGCCAAAATTATATGAAAAATTTCAAAAAATAGAATATTTTTTTTATATAATAAATAAAACGATAAGGTGACATAACAATTGAAATATAATATAATTAAACTTAGTAAGAAGGTCAAAAGGTCAACTGTAAATAATAATAAAATGTTTTGTTTAGGCATATCTAAAAAAAATCATAATTGAGTATTGAAAGAGCTGGCATCATTAAAGTCTGATGCTGATTCTCGTCCTCGTAATAGGTAATTATCATTATTATTTGGTGTGAGAGGAGATAAATCAGAAAATTGGCTAGGACCGATAAAGCGATTTATTTGGCGGCCGTTATTTGTTAGAGATAAGTTTTGCTTCATTTTGTAATCAGATAGGCTAGAGAGTTGGTTGGAATCAATATTACTGCGTTGATCTGATTTGCCGTTGGAAGCCAGCGGGGAACCCTGGGAAAGTTCTTCGTAATTAAAATTAAGTATCTGGTCCAAGGCGGCTCCGATAAAATTACCGTAATTAAAAAAATTTTTCTCCTCCGCATCTGCTTCCCCATCCCCAGATTGGTTGAAGCTAGATAGAGTTTCCGTTATCGATTGGTTATCGGTTATTGATTGATTGTCAGTTTCAAACTGATCGGATTCAATATTTTGAAAAGCGGATAATTGGTTGTCATAAGTAGATATCTCTGTTGTTTGTCTTTCCTGCAAGCGTTTGTTGCGCTCGCATCTCTCCTCGTTGAGGAGCAGAGCTTCTTCGGTCATCTTTATAATATTAATTTTGTTATAAAGTAAATCATCAATAATAAGTTAGAACACTATGAGTAAAAATATCTTTACATCGGTCAAAAAATATATAAACTTTATTTGGTATATACAATAGTAAATAGTAGTCGGGACCGGACAATACAAATCTCCTTACGGGTTTAGTCTAGCCGGAATTTCATAAAATTTAAACTTAGAATAAGGCAAATTTATGTCTTTTCTCTTCATAAATAATTATTTTGGGCTGGACAACTTGTACGCAATGAATTTACGGGCCAGACGAGGATTCAAAATACTAAAAAAAAGATATAAAGTGAATATAAAAATTTTTGATTTAATCTTATTTCTTTATATCAACAAGCCGATACCAAACCAATTAAATAAAAAAAATTAATATATTGTTTAAACTTTTTATTTAGCACAGAAATATAGAAAAATTAAAAATAAAATTAGGAATTTATAGGGTTTTCCATTCAAAAAAAAGGTCCAATGAAAAGTGGAAAAGTATGAATCAAAAAAGGAAAATAGTTATTTTTCTAAAGATTTTAAAAAAAATTATAAATTTTTTTCTTGCAAATTTTACTTAATTCTATTTTTATTTTTCCTTCTTATTTTATTTCTAACTTTTTGCGATCTCTTTAAGTCATTATTAATTTTAATATTTATTTTTCTTAATGGGGAATTTTTTTTTTTAAAAAAAGTCCAGGGCAGGATTATCTCAATTTACTTTTCTACTAATTTTTGATAATTCTTTTTTATAAATAATTTATTTATTTTCCCTGTTATTTTTCTTCACTTCTCTTTCTTATTGTCATTTTTAATAATTATTTTTCCTTTTCCTGCGTCACACCATCTCCGTTCTTTTTTTTAATAGTATTATTATATATTTTTCAAACATTTTTAAATATATTAAAATTTATTATACTACATATTAATTTTTCAATTTATTTCTTATATATTTTTTAAAAAATTTCACTTTTAATTCTTATTTTTCTTTGGCAATCAAATTGTTTTTTATTAATATTTTTTGCATTCAAACTATTTCATTACAATTTAAGAAACAAAATTTATATTAATTTTCAATAATTTCCCCTCTCCTACATTTCGGAATATAGGTCTCCATATTTCCAAAATAATTTTCATTCAAATCAGATATTCCTCTCTCTCCATGCTCTATAAAACGAATTAATTCCTCCTCGTTATTAGAATTTGGTTTCTAACAAAATCTTCCATTGAAAAAAATATATTTTAAATTGGATTATGATAAGGGTTATAAGGTGGTAAATATTTTATTATACGCCATCTCCTTTCTATAGATTATCTAATTGTATGGTTGTGATATAATAGAATATTATCCATCATAAAAATCATATTCATCATATTACTTTCTTCAAAATGATTTAGTATTTCATTTATAAAGTGGCTAAAGTGTATTGCGTTGCAATGAAGAACTCGTGTATTGCCGCTATCGTTTAGAGCAGTAATGATAGTATAATTCATTGTCTTTATCCCTTGAACTTTTTGATAACCCATTTATTTTATTTATGATTCTATAGAACCGTCTCATTTATATTGAAAAACCGTTCTCATCGATAAAAATAAATTTTTTTTCATATAGGCTACATCCACAAACCAATTTGCGTAGAATCTCGATATTTGATTCTGTATTAATTGAACCGAGTGATATATTAAACCTAAATCCAAATAGTTGATACCATATTTTTTGTTATTTCTATATCATATATCTCTTTAATCCTTTCACATCACTTTTTTAAGGATAAAGTGAAATCAAAATTTATATAATTTGATATATATATTCTTTCTGATCCTGATTTAATTTCTTGCGTGCCCGTTAGCCTCTTTTGGGTAAACTATATTTTATTCCAATTTTTGATTGGAGTGTTTTATATTTGTCACAGTCACAGTATTGCTTATTTTAAAACATGCTCTAATTATGATACTATCCTAATTTAACGCGTCAATTATTAGAGCAACTATTAATAAAAAAAAAATGAAGTTGAAATTAAAAAAATAAAAATATAAGGAGAAAAAAAATCATAAAGAGTCAAAAAATTGTTACCTAGGCCGGAAAAAAGGGAAAAAAAAATTTGTTAAAAAAGTTACATAAAAATAAAGAAGTGAAGAAAAATAACAGGGAAAATAAATAAATTATTTTTAAAAAGACAAAAAAGAATGATCAAAAATGAGAATATAAGAAAATTGAGGAAAGACAAGAAAAATAGAGATTAAAAATGACTTAAAGAGATAGCAAAAAGTTAGAAATAAAATAAAAATTGACAAGAAAAATTTTATATGTATTTTTTTAAATATTTTAAAAAATAACGATTTTCATAAATTTTCCTTTTTTGATTGACACTTTTTTTTGATCGGATTTTTTCCTTTTATAGCAATATTGCCATTTCGAGCATTTGTCAGGTTGAATTAAAACGAGTTGAAATATTTAAAATTGGGTAAGGAAATTTATGTGTTGATTTTTGTCATGTTATTTTTTTCCCAATTTATTAAATTTTGATAGATTTAAAAAAAAATTCTTATTATTTTAAAGTTTTATTTGTTTAGGGCGGCCACAACTAGAGATAAACAAAGTGAGTTTGAATTAAAAAAAATATTCGACCCAACACGAACAAATTTTTTCAAATTTGAAGTGTGAATATTTTAATATCCAAAAAACAATTAAAAATTATGTGTATTATCTTAAATAAAAGTTTATTTGACCGCCATAATATAATTAATATTTACATTAAGTTGGATTATATTTATTAGAAACTTATACTTTTTATTCAGTTTAGATATTAAAAAGATGAAATACAATCGAATTTAAAAAATATTGTGATTGTATAAAAATAATGTGCATAATATAATGAACATATTATAAAGATATATCAATATAATTATCAATAGTAGTAAATAATTGTGATAAATAAATAATGAGGAGTTGAGTTTGTCAGGCTTTAAATAAGTCTTCCTATCTTCAAAGGCCCTAATAGCCGCTTAAAGTGCTCTTTCACTGCTAGCCAAGGAAGCAGGGATAGCCAGGAATTTAAGAGCCAAAACCCTTAAATTGGGAAAGTCGTTTTGATAAGTTTTCCACCAATTTAAGATTTGGTAAACGATTTTAAATATTGAAAATTTAAGGCTATTTAATTAAATAGATATTAGATAATATTTTAATTAACCTGATAGAATATGATGTAAATAAAGTATTCAATAATAACAAAATAATTTAATAAAAGAATGTTATGTGAAATAGTAATTGAAAATGACATTTGACATTATGAATTAAAATGATAATTTAGGATACTTGTATTTATTTATCGGGTAGGAAACCTCTTAAAATCCGACCCCAATCTGAAAATAATTTTTTTTTATGTCCGAACATGAGTCGGGATATGGACAGCCCGTGCAGACCTTTAGCAACAACAATCAAATGTTTAATCAGGGATGGGCATAATTTTTTTATTCAAGATATAGATATAATACGCTTTAAATATAAGTATTTAATAAAATAAGTTTTCAAAAAGTTCAATAAGTTGCAAGAGACAGATATTTGATAAATAAATTGAAAAAGGTATCTATAAACGTGAAACCTTATATTTTTGCACATTGTGTTAAAAAATTAGATATAATGCTAAGCAAAATGCTTTATTTATATTCATTTTACTTAATATATTTTCATATATGATAATTAATATAAAAAAATACCTTAACTGTATTAAAAATTTTATAAATAATCATTATTTTTTTATAAAATTAATTTCTCAAATAATTTATCTGAATAAACTATTAAACTTTTTTTCTTTAACTTACCACCAAAAATTATTAACATCCTATTGATATCTTTTTCAAATAAAAATTTGTTCAAATTTTTTGCCCCCTTCAGCCCCAGTTGAACGACTATTTATCTTTGCAAACCTTGTCAAAGGCTATATAAGCTTAAATGAGATATAAGATATATACACGATAATGACCAACTCTGTATATAACATGCCAAAAGCATTTGCACATATTATTTAAATTAAAATTATCTTTTTGATTTAATATTTAAAAAAACGGTAAATTATAACTTGAAAATCAATTAAAAATTTTTCTTTTACCCTTCAATACGGTGGAGTATATGAAACCCCAGGCATGCTAAAAATGATATTACAAAAAAACGGTTAAATATTAAGATCTGGTTCTTCAGTAGCTTCATCAAATATATCTTAGAATCTATATTCCAAATTTCATATATTTTGGTTGAGTAGTTTTTAAGATATAAGCATTTTGTGACTGATTGTGGTTTGTGAGACCTCACCAGAGTAAATTTGTAATATTATAAGAAATTTAGTTTTTAAAAAATTTTTTAAATTATTAATATATACTACTATATTATAAAATTTATTAAAACAAAATTTAAATATCTTATATTTTGAATAAGATATATGAAAAAGAAAACAAAAAATTTTCTCTGGTGGAGTTATTTTATTATTATTTTTCACCAGCTGACTCATTTCTCAAATTTATAATGATTTTTGCAGATTCTGAAACTAAATATATAATTATTTAAGATGTTATGTAATATCATTTTATTTGAGGTGATTATGACAATATAATTAATAGTGAGGATGAAGATTTTATATATGATAGTGATCATGATACACAATCTGAATTAGATGAAAAGAAATGTTAGTTGAAGACAATAAACTTAATATTATTTAGGTAAATATGAAATCATTTATCATAGTATATCTCTCTTTAAAATTATCCAAAAAAATAAGTTTACTGAATGGAAAAAGGATCTTCCTAATCAAAGAATAAGAACTCATCAACAAAATTTAGTTATTCATCTGCCAGGGAAAGAAGCTAACACTCCAAAAAAATGTTTTGACTTATTCATAACACAAAAATAATTGAAGAGATTATTTATCATACCAATAAAAAATTAAAATTATATGTAAAAACTATACTGACCAATATGAAAGTTCTACTAAAGAAGTATT